GTTCATTCATAATCTATTGAGCACCATCATTTTCATGATTTTTCAGTTGCATTTGGTTGTCTTGGTTAATTTCCTTACAGACGCCAACCGAGATAATAAAATTAAATTGAGATCTAGTTTTTAAAAGTGTTCTTCCTGGAAATAGTGATTTTAGGCTCCAGAAGTAGAAAGGTAAAAAGAAATGTGTCCATACCGCAAATAACGTGATGGTGACTCCTTGAATATGTTTGAACATGAGAGCAGTTAGGTGGGTCCAGAATACAGGAAAAGCCAACCCAAGAGGTTGGGATTGTGCAAACTTTTTCTTGCTAACAACTTCTTCCTGTAAATTAGCTGTAATCTCTGAGTTTGAATCAATGGAAATGAAGATTGTAACTTTTATATTACTCACATTAATTTATTTTGGTTAACCACCAATGAATGTTTAGTTTAGATCTAAGTAGAAAATCTTTTAGTCGCTATGTGTAGCCTTGAAGGAAACTATCCTAAATAGCTTTGCGCACAATCGCAATAGTACCACATGCGAACTGCATATGTTATATTGTTAGCCTAAAATTAAGGAATTGACAGTTTGACAGTGATCTGATGAATCATCTGGTTGTCCTTTAAAAAGAAACGTGAAATGAATTGTTCGTTGTAGTAGTTGGTAGCAGTTGTGGTTATCGCTTATGGTGAGAAGTTGATGAACTAGATAACAAAAGCTGAGAAATGAAGAAGTCAAGTAATAAACTTGAAGAGTGTGTTGGAGTAACAGCTAATTTTGCCAGAAGTTGCTTCAATACTACTCGAGAATAATCTTCAAGCATGCTTGCCTTCACAATACCAAGTTCATTCCAATAGACTGTGATGATTTCCTGTAATAGTACCATTGCCACATTGATAATCACTAATTTTGACCAACATTAACAAGCCTTTCAATTTTTCCTTTTTCTATTTTGTTGTAATAGATACTAAACTAAAGCTTTGAGTGATTACTTTCAAAGGTTAACGCTTGAATTTTTTAAAACAAAATTTTCTCAATGTAATTTTTTTTCTTTCTAACAAATCTTAAATTAACTCGCTGAATACAACCTTATTAGAGGAGTCACGTCACAATATTTTGAGTCAAGTTTTGGGAAATTTAAATTGCCAATAAACTATGGGAAACCACAACATAATAATTGAACGTGGAAGAAAAACCTCAAATAAGTCATACAAAACTTAAACGGAAAAGGATGGTTAGGGATGAATCTCATATGATGAATGTAAAAAAATGGTGAATTTGAAGTGAAGTGAAGAGTGAAGAGTGGGGGAGGGTAGAGTTAAGTGGGGCTGTGGCTACCCTTTTTAGCCAGTAGTTACTTTTGTTTAGAGATGCCGCTTAGATCAAGCCTAGGGAATGCAGCTGAAAAATTATACCTATAATTTTTGTACCTTTAGTACCTTCCTAAGGTGTATTAAAGGCATTTGACAGTTATTGTGTAGCACTTAATACTATTATTTTGTCTAGATGACTTTGACTTAAACAGACTTGAAATTCGGCATAGTTTTTTTTCTTGGCTTCACCTTTGCAGAGAAACTACGTTTTCATTTTGTTTGGGCTCTAGGCTGAATGAAACAACGGCATAAGAAACTTCTTATTCTTAGTTATCTGATAACAAGAGAAGAGGGTTAACCTAGGGTTACATATAGGTTTTAAGTTAGATCTGTTCGGTACCTTTTTAATTTGTGGTTGCACAAAAGGGAGTGAATCACTTGAAACTGTTATTTTCCTGTTAAAAAATCTCAAAACATTGAGGATGGACCTCATGGAAGAAAATTGTACTACCCTTATAAAATAAGGTACCAGGATCCCGCCAAAATTCCCAGCACTCGCTGAGTGGGATCCTGCTGAGGTGGCCCGTTTTTCTGGCGGGATCCTTCCCAGGAAAAATTCCCGCTGCGTATCAGCAAGAATCCCGTGAAGAAATCTGTACGCGCCAGGATCCTGCCAAGAAAAAATATCCTCTGGCATCCTGACGAGAATCCTACTGGGAAGCATAATCTTGGTAGTATTCCTGGGTAGAACTAAATTCTAACCGAGAAAAAATTCTTGCATAGAAATTCCTGCCAAGAAGTTGCACGTTCTCATGGCCGAAACGCAAATCTGGACAAGAGTGCATTAAACCTGATCTTGAGATTTGACCCTGGAAGCAAGTGCTGCTCTAAAACTATTGAAAGCCATGTCTAGTTAAAGTTTTTTAAAATATTTATTACGACTCAATCTTACAGTTCGTCATGTTGAAAATGAGCTGTGAAGACAAGCTTTTATCTCTAAACATGCTGATCCTGTCTAGACAAACTGGAGCTTTTAATGGGAACGACTAGCCGAGTGCCCTTAAAGTTTTAAACGTGCTTTACAGTTTAAAGAAGAAAGATAAGATCTTTGTTGACTTTTGTCTGTGTAGCTTCTTTGTTGAAATTTCTGCATGATTTTGATTAGAAGTCCATAGATAGGATTACCTCTGTTCCCAGGATTCCAGTGACCATCACGAAGAAATGATCTTCAATGGCAAACTCTGAAAATTGCCTGTAATATAAACGTTCACTTTCCCTTGAAAATTTTCTTTGTGACAGCATTCGGCAAATCTCTCTGGTGAAGATCTTCCTGCAGGCCACACAAATAGCAAACTTGCTTGGGGAAATTCCTACCAAGGTTGTTAACCTGGGAATACAATTGGCGGACTAAATTCGTGTGAGACATAGTACACACCATCCCGCGAGTAGGAGAGAGAACCTTTGAGAAACTTTGAGGGCTTTTTCAAGTCCTGCTAAGAAATCCACACCAGGAAAAAAGCTGAAAGTTCTTTGTTTGCCTGGTTTGTCTTCTTCAAACCTTCAGCAAGGACCTTTCTGCGGGGAATAGCTGTTTTGTTGAAGTTGTTGCATGCCAGCTGCGTGAGCGTCAAACCATGGACGTAATCATGCGAGGAATTTCACAAAGACTTCTTCAAGGAAGCGGTTGTGTCCTCGTGTACCAGTTACAAAAATTGCGTGACCAATATCCCAGCTGGCCTGACAATCTCAAATGGCCTAAGTGACCCAACTGGCCCATGGCCAGAATGAACATAATAAAAATTCCCAGCGGATCTCTGGTGTAGTAGCCACAGCTGACGTCATGAGTCGACTTCACATGACATAACCTTTAGCCATGGTAATTGTGTAGTTCGCGGTATTTCTCTAGTTCTTGTGGTTCTTATGGTTCTTGTGATTCCTCGTGATTCCTCGTGGTTCTCCTGGTTACAAGTAATATTTTTCATTTCTGGTTCAAGTTAGAGTTCAAGCAGAAGTCAAAAGTGAGAGGGGCAGAGGGTGCAGGCTCACGTATACCAGCAGTATTCCTCTCTAGTTTTAGATCAAGTGAGTGTCGTTCAGGTTGATAAATTCGTTGTTTTATCCCAAAAAATGAAGTGTTTTACTAAAGTTGTGTCTTTTAGTGGTTTTCAAGATCTGGGGCTGCTCCTACGCCTACAACGTGCCAATTTCGGAAGCAAGTTACAGATTTATACAGCTTGTTTTGAGCATTCATTTCATCTGAATTGCATGCAAATTTGATA